CATCTTCCTCTGGAAAAGTAGAGCGGAGCATTTAAGGAAACTCTACAACTGGTATCAGGGAAATGATTTCTCTTGATCAGCTGTGCCTACATGTGCCTGTTGAAAGTTTTGCTTTTTAAGTGGATCTGTCATACGGACCTGATGGCAAAAATGTGTTGCTGTCGAGATTTTATTTGCTCACTGTCCATTAAGAAGTGAAGTGCCTGGGCTGAATATGCCATGATCTGCTTTCACCAGCATCTGTCCACGGTCATTGGTGCCTCTCTGGACTGCTGTCAAGCTGCCGGGATGCTTTTACTGCAAATTACTCACATAGTCTTCACGTGCTGCTCAGGGGTCAGGAGATTCCAGATCCAGTTTTACCTAAATGCTGGCAAACAGCCACGCATTTGTGTGAGCTTGACTGCAGAAGGTGAGAGGACGACCCGGAAAGCAGTTCAGCTGTTTCTTGCTTAGAGCTGAGCCAGAGAGATAATGTCACCCAAGAGGCATTCTTGCATGAGGGGCTGGATTATTTGATGCATTTCTTTTGAAGTCTGGTACGTGGGGATGAGCTGCACAGCTTCTCGGCTGTGCTGCTGAGAGCACCCCATGGTCAAAGCATGTCGGGTAGAGGCAAGCACTAATTAGGAACTAGCAGCTACTCATTTAAAGAAGGCTGGGAGAGGATCGGCATGAGGGAAGGTGTTTATGCACATGGTGAGGCTGTACCTTGAACGCTGTGTTCAGTTCTGGGCCTCTCACTACTAGAGAAATATTGAGGTGCTGGAATGGGTCCAGAGAAGGGCATCAAAACTGGTGAGGGGTCTGGAGCACAAGTCTTACAAGGAACAGCTGAGGGACCTGGGAGTGTTTAGTCTGGAGAAGAGAAGGTTCAGGAGGGACCTTATTGCTCTCTACAACTACTTGAAAGGAGGATGGAGTGGGGTGGGCATCAGACTCTTCTCCCAAGTAACAAGTGATAGGACAAGAGGTAATGGCCTCCAGCTGCACCAGGGGAGATTTAGACTGGATATTAGGAAAAAATTCTTCATCAAAAGGGTGGTTAGGCATTGGAACAGGCTGCCCATGGGGGAATTACCATCCCTGGAAGTGTTAAAAAAACATGTAGAAGAGGTCCTTAGTGATATGGTTTAGTGGTGGACTTGGCAGTGCTGGGTTAACGGTTGGATTTCATGATCTTAAAGGTCTTTTCCAAGCTAGTCGATTCTGTGATTCTGTCTGGATGTGAGGACTGCACCAGACTGGTGGTGTCCATGCCAGGACAAGCAGGAAAAAAAGCACATTGTCTTGTTCAGCATGCTCTACAGAGCTGGTCAGCTGTAGAGGAAAAGTTCTCCTAGTTTTTCTGTCAGGCATGGGGTAGCCTCCTTGCTGTCTGCAAGGAGAGATGTGGTGTGCCACATGGAATGGGGTTACCTGAAGGACTCCCCATCTGAATTGAGAATTAAAGGAAAATGATTCTGAGCTTCTAGTGCCATTTCTAGAAACTTGCTGATGCAGTGTTTGTCCCCAGGTTTCTTGGCTTCTAACGAGTCTGTGAAATGTCAGGAAGCTGGCTGGGGCTCCTATTTTTACAAATGGGGAACAGAAAAATCCATTTGCTTCTGATATTTCCCCTCATGAGGAGTGCAAGATGCGCAGCAGCTTTTTGGCTGTTAGGCCACCAGACCAGCCATAATCAGTGTGTTTTATGTTTCTACATGGGCTCCTGGCCACCTGTATAATGTCCATCTGTTGAAGTGGGAGTGATGCCTACCAACACTGCAGTCTAGATCATTTGAATGAGGCACAGGTTTACAGGAGGTGATGGTGTTCTTGAAGGACAGTTTGCAGCAGCACGACAAATGCTGTCCCTTCTGTGTGAAGTCCTTCTCATGCACTGCTCCTGTGGCAGTGCCATTCACTTCTCATTACTTTAAGGCACTTGGGGTAATTAATCTAGAAGAAACGCAAATTTGTTGTTGCCATGATAGCAAATGAATATTCAGAGGCAGTCGCTGGCCCTCTGTGACGGTATCTGAACAATTTTAATGTATTCAACTTAGAGTTGCGCAGTGTTTTTCTGTGACTGGTAAATATGCTGAAAAATGCAGTTTTAGAATAACCACATCCATTTGCCATCTGAAGTTAAATTTGTTAACTAGCTCTAAGTGGGAAAGGACATGGTGCAGCTGGATTCCAGGAGTGGCAGAGGACCTACCTCTGCCTTCCCCTCAGCCAAGGTGCAAAGACCCCATCGCATCAAGCTGTACGCTTGAATTCCTTTCACTGTGAAGTTTGAAAGTGCATCACCCACCTCCCAGTGGATGTCACATTATGGGGAGGGCGGTAGTCCAAAAGCCTGCTGTGGATCTTATTCTACCTTTTAAAAGAAATCAGGGTTATTAGAACAGGGTTTGGATACTGAGGGTCTGAGCACCTAGGTGAATATTAAGCTAGGGGTTTTTTTTGTTTTTCTTTTCACTCTCGGTGACTATGTCCTGATGGACATAGTGGAATGGATGTAAGTGGATGGACATAGTGGAATGGAACAAGTTTGATAGGATGGACCCAACTCCTGTACTTTATTATCTGACAGGTTGTCCTGCTACTCCTTTGGAAGAGAGGATGGTAAAGCCTGGTTTTTTTGGAATACTTAGTTACAAGACTGATAATAATGGCTTGGCAGGGCCCACATGAGAAGGTACAGCCAGACAATGAATTTCTGCCAGGGCACCTTGGTCTTGGCTGGCCACCTATTTTCATCTGTGTCTTGGCTGCTTCTACAGAAAAGAATGCCAAATGCAGTAAGTTATGAAATTATTTTTATTGCATTGTTTTGTATATTCAGGTTGAATCAATTTCTTGCTTGGAAGGCAGTGGCTTTGTCTACATTAGCAAATAGCATCAGACAGTCGAAGCAGATCTTCAGAGCAAAACAGTAATGAAGACCCAAGCAGATTTCATGGGGTTTGCTGCGGAACAGCTGTATTCTAATCCCACATGAAGGAAATTTTGAAAGAAACTTACAGCAAATCAGGATACCAAATATCACATGTTGAAAATGTCAACAAAACCTTTCAATTAAGTTTCAATTAGGTTTTAATAATTTCCTTATTAGGAATATTTTGAGGTTTCTGCCAAAACAAAGACTTCAAAGAACCAGGCACATATTCGTGAGACACTTCAAGGCTGTTGAAGGTGTGTATTTTTTGTTGACAAGTGTTTCAGCTGAAAGTTTAGATGGTGCTTCTTGAGGTCATCTGGCATTCTACTTGAACCTGTGTATGTTCTTGTGTATGTGATTCTTACTATTGTTTCAAAGAGGTCTATACATAAAATTGATCCCTTCATAACCATTTAAAAAAGATATTCATATACCTATCTCTCTGCCTGCACCAGAGAAAGGAAAAAATATCCAGTGCTGCTGTCTCAGCTTTCTTGTTCTAATTCCTTTCTGCTGCATGGCTATGAAATCCATCACGATACATTTGCCGTAGCTGCAGGAGACTGAGAAGAGGCAATAACAAGGGCAAGACAGGCATTTGGGAGCTCAAAAAAATTAGGGAACACAGGTGGGAGAGCAACCCAGCTGCAATGAAGAGTGCGTGAGGCTTGTGCAGAAGTAGCTTTTAATGTAGTAAACTTTGCCTGCATGCTGCAGGCTATAGATGCTGTCATGTGGTAAAAGTGGGGAGGGCTTACTGTGCTCTGAAGATTGCGTGGACTGTGGAAAGCAAGCAGATTATCCAGAATAAATCATAGTGACTTATGCAAAGGTATCCTCTAATGCAGTCAACAGTAAGTGTTCCTGTTACTTAGCAAGTTTGTGTTTTAGGTATTGTATTTTACCATGACTCTGGCTGACCTCCATATCAGTTACATCCAATGATACATATTTGGGATACTTCAATATTTTACTGAAAAGTGATTTGTTTAGTATCAGATGTCAGGACAGGTCAAACATCAGTGAAGGGTTTGGTGTGTGTGAATAACCTAGGATTTCCTGCCAGATATCTCGTTAATCTTGGCATATCCAGAAGCATATGGCCAGGAAAGGTATCTTGACAGGATACTGGTTTTGAAACAGAGTATAAGTCTATAAGTATATACGTCTATATCCCCATCAGGGGTAATATAGGTATCAGCAAATTGCTATTGGCAATGTAAAAAAAATGTAACTTGGTTAGATAGTTTTTATATCAAGAGATGAGGAAACTATCATATTAGGGAAATAACCTGTACATAGATGTTGCCTTCCTCACAGTTGCCAACTACTCTCCCCTTTAACTTGCATGCTACAAATACCAGCTGCTTTTAAACCTACTCAGTGTGTAAACTGTCATGTCTTAAAAACCACAGAATATTGTCTGGTGCCTTTTGCTATTTTCTTTGTGGTGCCACTTATCCCAAACAATTAATGGATTTCTGTCTTATTGTTTGTAACAAAATATGTTCTTTGAGATTTCTCTCAGTTCCAGAATGAGAATTAACTACTATGGTAGTGCAGCCTAAGTCACTGTGCAGGCATAACAAAAACAATTCCTACAAGTTTTATAAGTCCAAAGTTTCTATTTAAATATTTCTTGGTATTGCTTGTTCAGGATGTAACTTGGATTCTTTTTCTAGTATGCTTTTAAGAACAAGGTGGACTTTAAAATTTCTTTTCAAGATTTTTGTGCCTGAAAGATACAAGTTGGTTTTTCAACAAATGAAAGATGTCACTAAACAGGATTGATTTTGAGGAATATTTTCTGTGTTCATTTAGGGTTTTTTAAAAAAACTAAATCAGAAATGTTTTGGGTTTTGGAGTTAGCAGGATACCAGATAGTTTTCAACTGTCTATTCAAGTTCATCTTCTCAGAAGAGCAGCAATGTCAGACAGTCACTTTCTCTGAGCTTGGGAAATGTGTGCTGTTAATTGTGAACATGAATATGGAGAGCAGCTTGTAGCTGGATTTTGAAATGACTGGGAAAACCTGTGTGTGACCAAATTGTTTTTCGCTGTTGTTTTACAGGTTCCAGAATCTGCTGTGGTCTCGAAAAGCATTTGTGGATAGCGTGAAGGTTTATAACCACAGCTACATCTACATGCCAGCCTTCTCAATGAAGACGGGGACGGGACCCTCCCTACGTGTCTATTACACCCTGAAGGACTTCAGTGCCAAGCAGGCGGTCCTTTTCGCCAACCCCAATTTCCTGCGGGACATTGGCAAGTTCTGGAAGAGCAAAGGTATCCATGCCAAACGGCTTTCCACAGGACTTTTCCTAGTCAGTGCCGCACTTGGTCTGTGTGAAGAAGTAACAATTTATGGCTTCTGGCCATTCTCGGTGGACCTGCATGGGAAGTTTATTAGCCATCATTACTATGACAATGTCTTGCCCGATTCTGGATTCCATGCCATGCCGGAGGAATTTCTACAGCTCTGGTTTCTTCATAAAAGTGGTGTACTGAGAATGCAGCTAGAACCATGTGAGGAACCTTTAATCCAGTCTTCTGCCTGAGGATTGTAGGAGTCTGTTTGGGAGATCCAATAGTTTTTAATTTCAATGCTCTACAACAGAGTGTTCTGTTTTCTGTTGTTTCTTTTTAAAGGGAAAATAATTGTGGATCTGCATGGACCATAAAAATGTTACTTGAAGGCCAAATGGAGTATGTCCTTAATGTATAGTACTTTATGGAACTGGGGTGAGGGGAAGAGGATCTCTCCAGCGAGTCCATTCAGCAGCATTGTGAAAACAATGTCAGAAGCAGCACAGCTGAACTTTCCGGGGGATGTTTTTAAATGGCCAATGTAAAAAGGGCATTAAGGCTCAGAGAGACACAGGGCCACCCACAAGCTTTTACTGGCAGTGCCAAATATGACTGTCTGTTCAAAAATCCATTTCATTCCGGATTGGCACCTCATACAACTTTCCTTTTTCCTTTTTTTTCCTTTCCCTCTGTTTGGGTGTGTTTGTGTGTAGGTGAGCATGTGTGTGTTGTTGACTTTTTTTGATTTTTTTTCCTTTTCTATCCCCCCCTGCCCCTTTGTTTCCCTGCCCTCCCCTCCCTCTGAGGAAAAGGAAGGGCTTAAAAGCCCCAGGAGCAAAGTACCATCAGCTCCTCTGAAGACTCTTGGAGGAGGGAAGGGTGCTAAGAATCTGGTTAGAAGAATGTCTTAGGAATGCCCTGCTACTGCGTATGGATGAACCTACCTGTTGCAGTTTTTATCAGGGTAGTTTAAGTCATTGCACTTATAGATATGCTAATGCTATATTGTTGGGCAAGTGCTGGTTAAGGCAAATTGGTCTGAAAATAAAAAGTGTGTTACAAAACCATTAGTGAAGTGCAGCCTGGTTTCAGCTGACCTGCTGCAAGATTTCAGATTTCCACAGTGACTTTTGTGGTAGGGTTAGTTCCTGACCTGTTTTGCTGTCCAGCCTTAGGGATTAATTCTGTATTCATTTGGACTCCAGATGTTCACTGACTGTCAAGGGTATTTGAGGTGTTCAGTGGAATGCAGAATGAGGTTCTTCATTTGCTTATGTGCAGAAAAACTGCAGAAATGAATGTAGGTGTTATTTAAAGTGGGTTGAAGCTTTGAAAACCCTTTCTCTTTTGTGTGACTAGCTCTTCTGCTTGGATTGTAACATTAGCCTTAAAGACTTGTACTTTCCTCGCAAGATTGTCTCTGGTTAAAGGTAGTCTGAAAAATAAAACAGCCTTTGGGAGCAGTGAAAAGCTGCATAGCCAGCAAGAAAAAAGGAAAACGTCAGGCCCTTACATAAGGCAGCCTCTCTCCTCTCAGAGGGTGAATTATGTCAGTGTATGCATTGCATGCGCGCCGCTCCGGCCAGCACAGTGCCTGAAGGACTGTTTTATTTTGGGTTATTACTTGGGTAGCAGATGGTCCTATCGCCGTGTAAATGAGAAATCTTTTTGTTTGTTTGCTTTGGTTTAGTACTGTAGGACAAGGAGAGAATGCCAGCTTGGTCTACAGTGCAATTTCAGCTGCAAGATGTTATCACCATTAACTTTAAAAATCCAGATCAATGTTCTCTTTCTTATCCTTCCATCACGAGTAGCTGAAATTCTAGTCAAAGTGTTGAAACAACAAAACTTTCATCAGGTTTCCACAATAACTTCCTGTGCTGTTTTAGCTCCAAAGTGCTAGTATTTTGGGCTATGTGTCCTATCATGTGTTGACAACTCTTTGTAGACTACCAGCTGCAAATTATATAGATATAATTAAAAGAACAAACAAAAAAAAAAGGCAAAATCCATGGCTCTTCTTTAAATATGAATAATTCAACTATCTATGTAGGACACTGGGTGAAAAAATAAAATGTTTTGCTTTTTAAACCTATTTTTCATAATTAAAATCTTCTTTCTAAATATGGATATTCTAAGCATGAAATGGACACTGTTCCATAGGTTTACAGGGCAGTGCTAAGATGTAACATGGAGATTTGGATTAAATAGTGTTCTAGATACTATTCTGATAAAATCCAAATGTGCTTCTAAAACCTGTTTATCTATGATATTTTGGTTAAAAGTACTGTCAACGTGCTGATGGAATGTCACTTGTTAATCTGTTCCCTTTGTTATGTTTGTTTTATCTATGAGGTGGGTACTAGGTGAGGAAGTATTTGAAAGTAAAATATTTTCTTTGTTGCTTGTTATGGCAGAATTTTACTGAGCTGCCTTTCTTAGAGGAGGTGCCTGTATGGTTTTTATTGTATGCATCGAGTTTTGTACTTTTTAGTGCTTTAGCAGTTAAATTATCTGTGAGAACAACAGTTGAAATATGATGTGCTAAAACATCACTTCAGTGATGCCAGCATTTCCTTAGGGGCAGAGTGAATGAGGAGAATAAGGGGAATTGCCTCTTTACTGGTCATTTTATCATATTTTTACTAATACTTGGCTTTTTTCCCATGTCTTGGGAAAATAATTGGATTAGAAGAACAAGAGAAAAACATGTATTTTTTGTAGGAAAACTGTGAAGTTTTTCCTAGTATCTGGCTTGTTCATCTTCCGTTGGTGCCCTGGGTACTTGGAGATGTTGTGTTCCCTACTTTTGTAAGGCAGACTGAACGTGTAGCCTGTGGTCTTTGTGGGTCCCTTCTGATATCTGCAGTCCTGATGTTTGCAAGGAGATAGCTTCCAAAAAAATTACAGAGGTAAGAGAGACCCAGGATATGTGATGTGTGACTGATGTTGGAGAAATTGATAATTCTGGTTCTATTCACTTTTATGTATAGTGAATATAACTGCATCTTACAAAGACAGCCACATATAATGAGGAACTAAAAACTTCAAGGATAAATAATTTTCTAGAACTTCCAGAAAGCTGGCAGCTAAGGAAAGAAGAGAAACAAAAATAAAGGCCTCTTTTGAGAGAGCAAAATCTGGTTTAGCTGTCTGAATTGTCAAACAGTGGTCAGCTTTCAGCCTTTTGCCCAGTCAGTACAAAGGCATGTAGGAGAGTACTGAAAGTGTTTTGTGGCAAGAGCAGTCACAAAGAAAAGGCAAAGCAGTTGGTAATGTGAGAGAGGCAGCTGCCTGACAGAAATGCTGGAGTAAATATGCTCTGTCTGTGCTGCTGCTCAGCATGTGGCTTGCCTTGTCTAAATCTAGGGGCAGAAGGGGTGTCCATATGAAGGATCAACCCTAACTATTTTACGATTCTATGATCATAGGGCATTGCATGCAAGGGACTGAAGCTGTGTCCTTCAGTCACACCAGGGAGTAGGTCCTTACTTCTGCTTAAAGACAGGCTCAGGCAAATCCAGGAGGCTAAATCTTAAGTGTTAACCATGAGAAATCAGCATCTTGCAGTCATGGCAAACTTTGGTCAGAATGATTATATCCATCCAGCATTTACTTACTGATTGATTTCCAGTCCATTACTTAAAGTGACCTTAATCAAATTTCACTGCTTATGTTGCTATATTTTCTTTGAAGTGAATTGAAATCTTAATGTTTATTATTTTGTTAGTGAAATTCCCTGCTTTAGTGTCTATTCCCAGTGCCAGTCCCCAAATTTCTCTGATAGTACAGCTATAGCTGCACAAGTCTGCCAGTTTGAAAGCTACTGCAATTCATCTTCAATAAAAACTAGATCAGACTGGCCAAATTATTTCTTAATGTTCCTTGCTAGTAATTTTGTCAATAGAGGTGGCAAGTACAAAAGCACTGGCATAATTGCTCTGCATAGGAAGAAACATATGCCCCACATTTGTAAGTAGAATAAGAGCTGTGCATTGAAGATATTCATACTAAAATTGCTGTAGATATATTATTTTTGGGGGTGCATATGCCTTTGATTAAATCAAGACCAGTTTTTGAACTTCCACCAAAACTATGTAAAACTTCTCCTTGCTGTTGATTATGAAGTCTTTGGAGCTCCTTCTAAAGCAGACAAGCAAAACAGAAGCCACCAATCTAAAATCATAGAGAAAGAGCGTGTATGCTCATGAAAATAAAAACATTTATAATTTTGGCACAGACCTTGCTATAATCCTAAGGACTCTTACTCATGAATGTTGTATTTTTGTTGAAATTAAGACACCAAGTTTGGGGTTACCAGTTACCTTTGACCAGAAGTCAAAGGTGCAAGGCTTTTACAGCTTAACTTGTGTATGATACAGAAATATTGGCAATTTTGTTGACATAACTACTTTCACCTTTTTGTTACCTTTATGAAAATGGTGTCATAACATACCCTGTTGAGCTCACACCTCTTTGGGAGCTGAAACTAAGCAAAGCATTTTCTTTTTTCAAGTGAATGTCTGAACTATTGTAGTTACCTAAAACTCTTCCTCCATACATCTTCATGGAAACTGGTTTATTAGCTGGCTCACACTCACCTGTAATTAATAAGGAGAACAAGAGTGAGGAAGCTTCTGTTCTAAAACTGAGGATAACGAAGGAGGTGGATGTTATGTCACCATTTGCTGCCTGCTTTGGTTCTTCTTAGTAGATTAGTAAGCATTGGAAGAAGTGCAGGTTATATGAAAGACAGGCAGTTCTTCATATAAGAGCTGGATGATGCTGGAGAAAAAGGAAGATCAAATCAGTGGTGTCACAAATTGGAGTGTAGCAATTCTTTATGAAAATCCCCAGTTCAAAGCAACCGTAAGAAATTTTCATCTGGTAGTGACTGTGAAAAATGCAAGATGGCAGCAAAGCAAAATGCTATGAGGAGGTGAAACTGATTAAACAGAAGGGGAAATACAATTGAACAAAGAATGATACTGAAGAATCTATCTTCCCTGTTTCTTCGTGCCGCTCTCCCCAAAGCACGTATTTAAAATCAACTGACTAGCTATTATCCTGAGTTACCATCTCCTTCATGAAATGAAGGATAAGGTGGGATTTCCATTAGCTGATACTTCCTAGTGAACAATATTCATCAGACCTTGTCCAGAAATGCCTAAACCCCATCTCCGTGACTCTTTGGGGGATACTTTTTGGGCTGCGGCTGGTCTCGTGTGCTGTGACCTCTCTAATAGGACTTCTCTAATGCCATGTAGTTCCATCAGATCTCCCTCTGGGATCATCTGGACTTACATTTGTGTCTCAAGATGTTGTCCTAAAGGATTTCTGTTTTATCCTTCCTGATGACCATCCACCTTGGGTTTAGAAGTGTGATTTAAAAAATCAGCAATAAGGTAGCTAATATACTTCGTCATTTTGAACCATCTTTTCTTTTTAAGTGTTGATAAATCCAATGAG